ATTCTAATTCATCCACAATCTACAATCCTATGCACAAACTATATATACACATTCGGATTACACAAATATTCATTCCGGAAGAAAACAAAAAAAAAAAATCAGGTAACACACTTAACAAACCAAACCAAAATAGGCTACTTACAATACATTCGCAAAAAAAAAGAGAAAACGCACTTAAAGAATGAAAAGAAAATTGCAAAAAAAGGATGGAAAATACTTACCCCCAATTCTGTCGCCGGGCGGAGGAGTCGTTGAGGGAGAATGGACGGGAGTGAGTCGCCGGATAGAGGGGAGTTCAATTTGGAGGGAAGACGCCCCCCCAATTTGGTTGCCGGCAGAGGATGGAGGAATTTGGTCTCCGGACTTGAGTGAACTTCGATGGGGAGCAACGGACGGAGGAATTTGGTCGCCGGTTTGAGGAACTTGAGTCGCTGGATGGAGGGTTTGTAGATTTGGGTCCTGGAGTGAGTCGCCGGACGGGGAGGAGCGGTGGATGGGTGAAGTTAGTCGCCGGACAGGAGTTAATTAAGGTTTTTCAATTTGGGGACGGGATAAATTGAATTGGGGAAGAGTTGACAGACCTTTTATAGTCCCCGTCAAACTCGGATTTGTGAAATTTGCATCCAGAGATCTGGATCTCCCATGCTTCTCCAAAATTGCACACTTCCGGATGGAATTTCTGACATCGGAATTCCGAAATCCGGATGTAGTACAAATTGGAATAACTCGGATTTCCAAAATCCGATTTACGTGTTGCAGGAAATCGGGCTTATTTCGGATTTCCGAAATCCGGGCTCAATACAAAATGGAATAACTCGGATTCTTGAAATCCGAGCCCAATACAAAAATACAAAATGTCCAAATTTTTTTTGCACAATCCCAGACCTGTTATCAACAACTAGTATCTATTTTCATCACAATCATAGCACCAACAATTCAATGTTAACATTACAATCCGAACAATTCAATGTTAACATTACAATCCGAATTTATCAATACAAACAGTTATAGGACATCTAATTAAACAGTTGTGATTCTAAATAACATGGTCATTCCAAATAACAAGAACACTAAATGTCTTTCAATTCCAGCTGTCATTCACATGTCTTCTATCTACTCTTGGGTGCGAGTAAGGACAAGAATTCACATCATGACCTTGTTGTCCGCATCTCCAACATTTATCCCCGGCTCCGGCGTCCCCTGTAATCCATTTGCATTCTATGTCTCCTTTTTTTTTTCGTCCCGGCCCTGCATTCAAAACAAGACGCTCATAATTCGGAACGATATTCCAAGCGATCGTCAGCCATTGTTGCTCATCTGGAACCGGAACAAAACCTGTGTAATCAGATTGTCCGCGCCATGCTGGAAGGCGCCACAAACTATGGTATAGATCAATAGTTTGATCCCCTTTTTTCCGGCAAACAGCGAGTGCGTGCGTACAAGGCATCCGATATTCTTGCCACTTCCTACCCGAACACCTATATTCATCATAGTTCACCGTATGCAAAGACCCACTGCTGCCACTTAGCCATTGCACTCAACAACCCTGAATTCTGGTCGGATATCACACTTACAATTCTATCCTGCATAACCCACAATCTCAAATTCCTCATAAAAAAATGTCCAACTCTCTACTGTCTCCTCATCCACAATCGCAAATGCAACCGGTAAAATATGCTTGTTTGCAGTATAGACCACTGCAACAAGCAATTCACCCTTGTATCCACCATGCAAGTGTGTTCCATCGATACAAATGACCGGTGGACATTCAAGAAACGTCGCAACCACTAGTGCAAATGACTAGAAGACGTATTTAAATATCCTATTCTCCCTGTTCCAACCTTCTTCTCCCTCATTCCATTCTCACTCTACTACAATCTCAGGATTTGTAAACTTAAGCGCAGCGATATACCTACATAACAAACGAGTCATAGTTAAAATATTTCAATACATGTAACCACAAAAAAAAATAAAATAATACACATAACAATTATAAAAAGTTGATATTTACCTAGGAAGTTCTTCGAAATTCGAGGTCCAATCACCATAGACCGCTTCTATGGCTTTCCTCCTCCCGTGCCACGCCCTTTTGTATGGCACATCTACTTTCAATAAGGTCTTCACATCTTTTTATGCCGAGGCCACCGTATAATCTATGTTGTCCTCAATCTTTCTCCTGATGAGTCTAGCAATCAAAGACGCGTCCACACACCGATTGTCATTATCATTCACGGAAGTCATGTAATTATGTGCATCATGCCATCTCAAAATTTCATGAAGGTCGTGATCTTTCAAAGACATACACATCTTCCACACACATGGTGGATCACCATCCTCACTTGGTACATTGAACGTTCTACACCACACATCCCACGTCGTTGGACTACTCGTGACAACCGTAAATTCTCTTTTGTGATGGATGTTCCATAATTTCACAGCATGTTTTGCTTCTGATTGGGATTTGAAACAAACACCAATGTCTATTCCTTCGGGGGTCTCATCCTACATCTTAAGAGCAAACTCATCCTTGTCCACACACGAAGCATCCCATTTCCCCATCTTACTATATACATGGCGTCGGGGCAATGGATTAAGATTCCTTTCCTCATTTTCCAATAATTCATCATCACTTTTCTCAAAATCACTATATGCAGAGACTTCACGGTCTTCTTCGCTTTCGCTTGGAGCTATGTAGTCGGGATCCGACTCTTCCATGTAGTCATCTTGTGCAAATAAAGGTGTCTTCTTTTCATCACGGTTTCGAGAAGTACTAGCACGTTCCCCCCTTGGAAAACCACCAAACATCTCTTTCTTCGTGAGTGATATCTTCCAAATCTATGTATAAATCCAAACATGACATTGGAGCTAACGGTTCATGAACTCTACATGCGAATCATTCTTGATCTTTATTACACGCCTACCACCGGGACTATCGAAAATCACAGAAAGGTGGAGTTTCACGTGTGCTGGATCCCAACCAAGTGTCATACAAATCTTACTAATCAATTCCATATATGACAATCTTTCCTCAACAAACAAGCCATGATCTGGCATATTCGAAAAAGTGTTGATGCTACCATTCTCTATCACATACTTGCTTGTATGAAACAAATTAAGCATGTATGATACGTTACATACCATTGATAACTGTTTTTTAAAAAAATCAATATCTAATCATTTCTTAATAACAAAATCAATAAATACACCATAAATACTCCATTCATAATTCAAAAAACCTATAAAATCTTAATATACTTATAAATCAACTTCCATATCTCATGAAAAACTATGATTTCTCATCTCTAACCTCAAAATCAATACCTAAAACATCCAAACAATCAACAAACAAAAACCCTAATCTATCATACATCATTCTAACAATTAAAATAACACAAAAATAAACTAACTAACATGGTTTTGCAATCTAACCTTTTTCAAATAACGATCTCCACGTATCTAGTGTAAGGTTGCTTCAAAAACTCCAATTCGCCAACCAAGAGCCGCAGAAACAGAAAATTCAATTCAGTTCTCGAATGAGAACTGTCTTTTTTTTTTTTTCATTTATATCACGCTAAACTCGGATTTCAGAAATGCGAATGAGTAAGTACTTCGGATTTCAAAAATCCGAAGCCTAAAAAGCTCAGATTCCAGAAATCCGAGTTTAGACAATTATGGATTTTTAATGCTATTTTTTGGTCCTCCAATTTATGACAGATGCCGACTTCTACCAACCAAAATTTAATATAGTCGGATTTCGAAAATCCGAATTCCTTAATCCGAATTACAAAATTCCGTAGTTGAAATTTAAAAATTTCGCGCCTCAATTTTCCTTCTGTATTTTTATTTTATTTTATTGAATTCAGATTTTACGATTCCGAAGTTTGCTGTTCATTTTGTGACTTTTTTGACTGTATTTCTACAAAATGTAAATACTTATTATTTTAATATTATTTGGACATTCGGATTTGTGAAATCCGAAGGTTTAATTTTAATGGACCTTCGGATTTGTGAAATCGGGGAAATATATATAGGTCCACATATATTTTAAAAAAATTAAATTTGTCTATCTCTATTTTAAAGAATTTTTTTAGGAAAAAGACCCTGCAAATATCTGACTAATTCACTTTCCCCTTAACATTGTTTTTACTCTAATTTTTATGACATCTTATTTTGTTGTTAAGTTTTACGTAAAATTATTAATTTTTCCACACACTTATTTTTAAATCTCTATTATTAGAATGACCTTGTGTAGTTTGGTTATTGGTTATACTAATGAAACTACAATAGCTGTAAGAAGTCAGAACATTTTTTTCACAAATTACTATTTTATTTCTACTCTTATTATACTGCAAGATGTAATATAATTACTAATTTTACAACCATTTACGTTAAAACTGGTTGTAAGATAAATAAACTTGTAACATCTTGGAACACTTGAATTTAGTTTAGAACCATGGTAAATGTTTCCATATACCCATATTAGTAAGAGGGAATTTTGGCAATAAACTCGCCAAACATGAAAAGGTTCTCCAGTTTTGTATGTTTGTGTTTTTTTGTGATATGAAAGAAAAAATTATTATGTAAAAGATAGATTAAAATTGGAAAACAGCAAAGATTAGGAAAAAGACTGTAAAACCAAACAGAGAAATGCTTCATAGGAATCAGAAAATAAAAAATGTGGATTATTACTCTCTATGTCTTAAAATAATTGTCAAATTTAGATTTTTATTTTTACTACAAAATATATTAAATGTAATCACATACATGATAATTATTTTGGAAGAAAGTATTTATTTAGAACCAAGAAGAGTCCATTAAAAATGTGCAAATATTCTATGAGGGTTTGCCGAATAGTTAGATGATCTCCTTTTACAGTGAAAATGTGGTTGACACATAACTTTAATCGGGTGCTCTTACTATTGTAACATTTAATTTAATTTGTGTAAGAGTTTTCTCTTTACCCAAAAGAAAATTTTTTTGCGGAAGACCAAAATTACTATTCTCTATATACTAGAAAAATAGTCGATCACAAACCTAAATGTGAACTATTTTTTAGAATAAAAAGAGTATTATTATTCAACAAAATGTAACAAATCAAGTAGGGAATTTAATTCCTTATTTACATGATCATATGCAGTAAAGGGGAAAAAAAAAACTGAAAAACCCTTCTAGTAACTCTTGGCGACAAAAAGCAATATCCTTCCCCAACAAGATCCTCGCAAAATTACAAGGCGCAGAGTCGTTTGTTTCTTTCTTGGGTGGAAAACAGAAAGGAATATCAACAAAATCCAGTCAGAATTTCTTCTGAATTGTCTTCTGCACACATCAATGGATATGATGATTGGCAATCCCAGTCTGTATGTGATTTATCCATGATTTGGCCAAACTTTAGCCCGACAACCAAAGATGTCGAGAGCATTTCAATCTTCGATGATCTTTTGCACGGGGGAGACAGAAAAATTACCCTTGAAGGTTATCTGACTAAAAGTTATTCCTCATTCCTCATTGTTGAATGTTGATAAAGCTCCTTCCACGGTTCTAGCAAAGACGAACAGGGCAACATCCACCAACTTCCAAGAATCCCAAGAAGAGTGACATTCTGATCATCCAATTCGACCCTAGCGATACAGAGAAACACCCAGTCTTCCACTTGGACATTCTTGGCATAGCACGGCTGTTGATAAGGGCAGAGGGCGAAGATGATTAAGAGTTGAACACGAAAAAATATTGATACAATATAAATAGCCAAAATCATCAGCTGCAGAACATTGTCTCATGAAGCACGACACAGGCAGATATTACTTTTGAAAGCCTTCCATCTCTTACATGGACATAATGGGAGTTTCTAACAGGACATGAATGCTGACAGTCACCCCATCTTTTTAACCACAGTTCACAAAACAAATAAACAAACCTCATAGAATGTGTTGAACATAGCATTAGTGATGTAACGTCAAAAAATCATCATTCCAGGCTACACGCTCAAAGTAGCAGAAAACTACAAAAGAAACTCAACATGTATTTGTAAATGCTGGGGTGTTGGCGCATAGCTTGTTGCCGGAACTACGACAGAAAAAGGTAAATTAATATAAGTACGGTTCATAACATACAAGACCTACATTCATTAGCAACTTTTGACTTCCGATAAGAGCTTTTAGAAAGAGACACGTTCGCCAAGTAGCTTCAACAACCTCAAACCTATACGAACTCATTTTCATGGCAAGATGAAGAAAGTAGCAATTACAGGTCTATATAAGTTGGAAGGTATGTTCTTTTATGTTCTTGTAACCTAATAAATGAGCAAATGAGATTCCAGAATCAGACTTTCACTGGGAAAAAGATATAGGTGACTAATTTTTTTTTGAAAATAATTAGGTAATTAATTGGTTAAGAGATTATAATGCTTATCCAAGGTAATCCTGAGACGGTTTGATTGAAGAAATGTTTCAACCAAGTTAGATAAAGAGACAAACTAGTCCGTCTGCTATCTTTAACAGGCTGCCTATCCAGAACAGCTCAACAGACAGATCTTTTATCAAAATGTAATATGGTGAAGAGTAACCTGCCCATTCATTTCCAGGCTAGAATTTTATTTTTCTGGAAAAGGTGCTCAACATTGTGACATCACAGCAGTAACACCAAAGCAACAAGCAATATATATTCGAAGAAGAAAGAGAAGAAATGGGAACTCTCAAACAATGAAATACATTCTGTTCACAACAAAGAGAGGAAGGTACTGAGCTAACCTGTTCAACAACAAGATACACAGATAAAGGGGTAGGTCTTGTGGCATAAAGAAGGAAAGTGAGCTTAGCAGCAATAACCATAGGCTGACCCCAGTTCACCAGGACGGTAAGTAAGCAGAAAACAGGCATCAGGAATTTCCTTAAAGTAGTCACAAAATCACGATCATCTTCATCGGAGTCTGAATTTCCCGACATACTGAAAGGAAGATCATCATCCAAAAACTCAAAACCTGTTTTGCAATCGTTGAAGAAAGAAAAATGATTAAGCTAAAAGGACTTCACCATAATCTTTTGAATAAAATCACAGAAATCTGAAACAAACACTAGTATTAGGCATAAAAACAGTTCATTCACTTCCATTTCTGAGAAACATGCTTTGTACCATCTGTACAGTAAGCGATGCGTGGCCGACCTCTGATTGATCCAACTATTACTGACAATCGAAGTAATGTATATACAGCAACTGTGCCTCCTGAAAAATGAATAAAATTCGACTTTGAGAATGAACATAATCAACACAACTAGCAAGCACATAATTTTCGATCAACTGAAAAATGGAACCACATACTAAAAGTGAAAGGAGCATCTCATTATAGACTACATGTAATGCGACTCCTAACCCTTCACAATTTTTCCCAAGTCCTATCAACACAATGCCTGTTAAATTTTACTCAAAGCACTTCATACACTGTTTAGCCAATACAACAAACGTTTGAGGTGCACTAATTAGAAGATAGATTCGCCAAAAAAAATAAATATTTCTCCATAACGGACCTGAATAAAGGAAAACACCATGGGGAAAATGATGATATCTCCGGACTAAAAGATTCCAGTAAGGAGTGGGCAGAATCATATTATGCACGTTAAGCTTGAGGATGTTTAGCCATGTCTGTACAGCTCCATTTCCACAAATGCTGGTCCCGGAGAGGCGTAAATGCGGAAGGGATTTTATCGAGATCCAAGAAACCCTAATAATGGGCTGTATTAACAATTTTACAGTAGACATTTTTTTTGCGCTATCTACTCTACTTTAACGTTATAGATGTGCTGGTGGAGGCTTGATTTCTTCAGCCTTTCTCCGCCGTCATCGGTGGAGATAACACATCGGAGATTCAGACCCGCCGGCGGCTCAGGTAATTCGACGGTCTACCGGATTCATTTTGTTTTACTATCAGTATCAGAGAATCGGTCCAAATGTTTTCTTGCCTGAAAGACCTGAAGAAGACGACCTTATTGAGGGTTTTCGCCTTTTCGGTCAAGTCAATTGGCTCCAGGTTAAAAGGAAGCGTGATTCTTGCTATTACGATACTCACGCTTTTAAAAATCAACCAAGAGTATGGTTCGTCGACTTTTACTTCTGGTTAAGAAAGGCGACGAATAAGTCGACCAAACTTTTTTGGTTGGTCTCGTCGTTAGATTTTGAGTTCTCGTTGACTTTGTCATCAGGCTATGTTTGTTCAACTTTATTTGGCTCATTATTGAGACTTTTTATGTCGAGTCATGTAGCTCGACGGTTCATCAAAATTGGAAACTAGATAAAAAAAGTCGGAGCAATTATTGTAATGCACTTTCTTTAAATGCATGGAAGATACGAATGCAGGATTAAAAACAACAAAGTAATCAGAGCAAGAAAATTGATCATAGTTAGCGTTTTTGTGCCAAAACATGCTAGAAATGTATGAAGATCCCCATGGCCGAATAAAGAGAAGTGAGAGTGAGTTTTCCATTTTGCTTCTAGTTGAAATAGCCATTATTTGGGGCGGATGATCACTTCATCAGCTAATGAGCATATAATTGACGAGTTTGTCGAACTAAAGTTGAAAGGAACGTATATCCAACCTTAACTTAAATTTCTATGAACATATACCGTTTCATCAAATTGAATAGAGTTACATCATAGGTATATGAAAACAATCTTTTCTGTATGCTTTTCCCTTTTCTGTAAATGTTATAGACGTTCTGGATTTACATGAGATGAGTGAGCCTAATGATGAAACATTCCTGCTGAACGCCTTCAGCCAACCCGTAGGTGAACAAAAAGGATTCTGTTGTAGCCTCGGGATATTCTGATCTTGTCATCTGTGTATCTGAAAAACATCCAAGACAGCAAGAAGAGTGAATGCATTCGATTTCTAATTTTAGAACAAAAAAAATCAAGATATGCTAATTACAGATAGCAAGTTTCTTACAATATTTCCAGAGTGATGTCAGTTTGCATCTCTGACGGAAGTCCATAAGGGCCGAGCACAATTGCTCCATCGTCCATGGTCACATCATACGTGTTCTTTCCAGATTTACTACAGATTAACAAAATGTCTCAAGATCCAACACTTATAAACCAAAATAAAAGGTTTATGCAGACAAATTTAATAGCAATAATCTCATTGGCTTCAAAAGACCAGCAGTAGAACGCAGTGAAATTATTACATTTCAACATGCACAAAACATATTCCAGTTGAAAGTCCACTTTTTAGCCAGATAAATTTTGAGTATAAAAGTATCGGATATAAGTCAGGTTTTGCATTTCAATCAGCTGGAATTCTTGCTGCCCTGTTGTAAGGTTAGCTAAAACTTACACAAAAGTGCCCGTCATAGAGAATTTCAAGCCGAGAAAGATGTCCACTAAGAACTTCATTCCACCATTTGGTCTGACGATCTGTGATGTGAAATTTAAGAAACTTTTGATCAAAGATGCCATAATATAAAGCAGGAAAACCTAGAAAAATATGGGGAAAATTCAGAATTGAAGTTGGGTATTCAACCTGCATGCCCATGAGACCATTTGCAGCATTCTCCATCCAGCTGTCTGTTTCAACCTTCAATTGAAATGGAAAATCTCAGTGCAACACTTGGTTAGAAAAAGAAAATGTATATATCCTATTGATCACTATAGCATCCCAAGATGATCATGCCAGATATGAGAATCCACTAAATACAAGTGTTTAGATGACCACCTAACAAATAAGTAATGAAAAAACTACCTGGGAGCTCCATATCATTTGCCATTCTCCTTCAATGAGTTCCATTTCAGCTCCTGAATCTTTTTTATTTAAGGAGATAAACTCCTCGATCGCCTGTCAGAATTGATAAATTGAAAATATTAATGAAGGAGCTGCAACTCTATCTGAAAATGACATGCAAACTGTTTTTTTTATTGGGCTGCTTCAGATCCCGAAGAAGGAGAAGGAAAAAAAACTGACCTCTTTCACTCCAACTCCTGAGAATACGACGGATAGAAATTTTTGCCTAGCATCAGTTTCCTTTTGCAGCACAAATGTGGTTCCCTGCACTATAACATTGTTGCTGGTTCTTCTTAGTCCTCAGGAGATTAAATTCTAGACAAGTTTACCAGTATGTTATGTTTTCACTATAAGATTCAATACTGCTAAGAATCAATATGCCAAAATGTTCAAAGAGGGCTGAAAATTGGTCACCTTATTTCCTCTCGAGATGCGAACATTTCCTGATTGAGATAAGTAGGTAGTGTCTAACCAGCCCTTTGCTTCATCTCCTAGAAGTCTAAATGGAACAGGATATGGAACTTTAAAAGGAAGGAACTTGAAAGCAAATGCAGCTCTATCAAACTGGAAAAGGATTCTCTTTCCATCCTTAGTTGTTGCTGTTGCCTGAAAAGCGCAAACAAATTAAAGCTCAATTAGAACTAACATACTTAGTAATCAGCCATTATGTTTTGGGATTCTGCATGGGAAGATAAACCAATCATGTACTTTCGTGTGCTGTTACTTTTACATTTCTGGCTGTGTCTGTGAAAGGGAATAATGAAAATTTTTCAAAGGATGTCCAAACTATTAAGGAAACGTAATGCGTCAGATTCTTTATATCATCTGCTTGAATGAAGCACAGAATTCAGCAACTGACTTTTCTTCAATGCATTTTCGCGGGTTAGTGATCCAATCATTGTAACCAATTCCGAACATAGAGCTTAGTGAGTGTGAAAAGTTCCAAATAGATTGAAATTTTCTGCTATAATAGTGGCCAGAGTTCTATCTTACAAGTTTGCACCATAGGCAGTTATAAAAATACAGAATAAAGAGATCCAACGGTCTTCAGTGAACACATTTTTAATAGCCAGGGAAGATAAATCATACCTCCACTTTAAGTTCACCAACTGAATCTGAGAACTTGACTATGTTGGATACACGTGGGTCATTCGTCCGTAGGTATACCTCTTGAAACACCGCAAATGAGTCAACCCCGACAAATGTTCTCTGCAAAAGAATGGCAGCTGTTTCGTAAGGAGGTAAATTATGAGAAAGAAAGCTTCAATGGACATCAAACTTCTATATTTTAATCGTTTCCTTGACTACCCAATTTGAGCATAGGAGTTCCAGAAACATCTCAAATTGTTCAAGTCCTAAAGTTTTCAGAAGCTTTTGTTTCTTATTGTTTCTTCATTTCTCTCTAGGCCACTTAGTTTCCATTCCAATGAGCAATTGCGTAACACAAATGGAGATGGATGATGATCATGTAAAAAACCATCCAAGGCCTATAATTAACTAATAGAGGATTAAACAGAAAGCAGAACCGGCTCTTAGAAAAGGAAACAACGGCACCCAGAATCCAAATCTAGACAGAACTGATTAGCTACTCAGGAAGTTGAGGTGAATCATCCCAAACTATAGAGAGAAAAGTATACCAAACCTGTATTGGTGATGCTGTGCCTGGCCTTGTTGTGAACATTAACTGCCAGCGGCCTTCTATCAAGCTTGAGCTGGTCTGCAAATTTACAACAAGAACATTTCTTAGATATATCAACAGATTAAGTAATGGAATTTCAGTTTCAAAGATTCCCGTGACTTTGTGGGCTTGAATTTTAGCAAAGATAATCAAAGATTTTGATGCTCACTGGATCAGGTACACCACCCAAATTTTCCAGCACTTGCACCGCACGTTCAACTTCCTGCAAAAATAAATTTTGTCTCAACCAAATCAATTTTTTTGGGAAATTCTTAAATCTATTCAAACTGGGTTCACAGACATTAAACCAATCATGTAACGTTCATATTAGATATATAATATATTACTTGAAGCTGCTTAGGAGAAGCAGAGCGACCACGGCCTTGCATCCCAATAAGGGCATCAATCAAAGAGCTCTCCTCTTTAGTGAAACCTGAATCTGATGCTGAATCGGCCTTTCCTTCATTGACCAATCCTTCTTGTTGGCCAGTAATGGCGCAAATTTTGAGCAGTCTTTTCCGAGAGCGATCTTTTCTACCGGAAATGCCATTATTAACTGAAAATTTATGAAGAACCCATGTGGGATCGGTGCTTCTTGTTACTGAATTCTGCTTCAGAATAGAGTTTTCGGTATGGAAGCTCAAGCCTAGAGACGCCATAATTGGATTCAAATGCTGGTTTGATGGTAAAATCAAAGAAATATAAAAGAGTATTTGGGTGTGTAAAGAAATGCCTTCAACGGGATTTTGTGGCGGGTGTTCAAACTGAAGTGGGCCCTACTATCCAAGATATTTTTTACTACTATATTTTTATCATGTAATTACTCCCTTATTTATTTATTATTTTTCTGTTCGTATTATTCTTTTCCAAATCAAAGTAGCATTATTATTGTGAGGTATAGTTTGCATATTGAATTTCTTTTCTTTTTTTCCTTTTTTGATAAACAATCACGCCTTAATGCTAAGATAATAATACTAATAATAATCTTTTTAAAGTATTTAAATTTTGGAAATAGAATTATGTCAAATCTATAGTATATATTTTCTTAACTAAAGCAGCATACAAGCTGCTGATGTGTAAGCACCACAATGAAAATTTTTCCGCCAAAAGTCATTTTCAGTACAAAATAATTTTTGACATGTGACACTGTAACTATTCAGAAAAAAAGATGGAATAAATAAATAGATAAATCTCTTAATTATAGCTCTATACTAATTTCTTAATTGTAGCTACTAATAATCCCTTAAAAGAAGAAATTTGAGTTGATAAAATCAAATGGAAAAATAATTTTCTTAAATCACGTGAAATATTATGCGAGTAATGCCTCTTCAATCTTCGCAAATACAAAATGGTAAAATGAAAATTGGCTCCAGCATACAATTGGCCCAATCAAATATATAATACCTCAATCAAGTATTTTTGCTCAATGTAATACAATTAGCTCAATGAAAATGAAAGCATTCCCCTTAATATTTTTGCTCCAGCAGACAATTGGCTCAATCAAGTAGACATCAGTCCTTAAAATTTGACTTAAAACCTAGCAACAGGAAAACCAAAGAAATTCCATCATGCTATCACAGGAGATCCACACCGGGGGAGCAAAAGATGATCAACTCTCCATTGTGGCAATCAGGATATTGTATCCAAGGATTTTATCACCGAATTTTTATTTGATAGTCCAAGAGATATTATCTCAATATTGTAATTTGTTATTAGCCAACGGACATGACCCGCGGGTAAAAAATAAAAGATTTTTTTTATACGATTAGAATTGTATTAAAAAAAAAAGAATTGTTATTTACTTACACGTACAAAATTTCACGTTATCGTGATCTGTGTTATAATACTAAATTATACATATTATTACTCTAAAATATGCTTTTTCACTTATAATTTTTTTATTTAATAATTTTAAGACACGGGCATCCCGGGCATGGCATGGGGCAAGCATCTAGTATTTTGTTACTGATGCACGTTTAATAAGCAAAAGAGGTTTGGAAGAAAAAGATATTACTATATCGTACCATTTGACTCATTTAACAATGTACCGATTATATACCGTGATAAAAATGGCGTAATTTGATTTGTAAGAATCATACCCGAACTGAAGTTGTATTGAATGTTTTAAATTCAGTGTAGATATGTTGCTGCAAATTACTAACAATTTATGACATGTTACACTATTATATACTCCCTCCGTCCCATAATTATTGTCCAGTTTGGATTTTCATTTTCAGTTCAAATTGTACTAAAAGTAAAATCTCAAACTGGACAATAATTTTGGGACAGAGGGAGTAAATGAAATGAAAAAAATTTTCTGCTTTGCATGATGTATGTGATTAAGCTGATGTGTGAAGAAAAACACAATTGCGATTTACTTAAAATTTCACAATATTTTGGCAGTAACATACCTAAGAGACATAAGTATGTAGTTTGATTGATTTAAACTTTGGAATTTCAAGCTAAATCATAAGGTTAAAAATGAGTTTGATGCTCTTAGATGGAAATACCTTCCTTTTGGACAGTATACCATCTCCTCATGTTATCATTGGTTGATAGGTGAAGGTGTGAAAATCCAGGCTGCACAGTTCATTTGGTCACGTTTTAATGTACCTAGACCTTCATTCATAGTGTGGATATTTTGGAGAAACAGACTGTTGACTAAGGTAGATGGCAAGTTAGACAGAAATGAGGTTCTTTTTTGGTTGTAAATACGTACTTAACGCCTTATTCAAGTAATATATTTACGTTTTATCAAAAAAAAAAAAACTTTGAGATTTCTTTCCGAAATAATAATAATTAATAGTATATTATATAAGTATATAAATATCGAAAGTGTAATGTTACATGAAATGGTGACAGAAAGGAGAACCATCAAAATGCCATGACATTACAGAAGCCATAACAGCCCGACATTAACGGTTTTGGGACTCCACCTTAACCAAAGAATTTTTATCCTACATTTTAGAAAACATTAAAATTGTTTCATGATCCCAAAAAAGCAGTGTCCTTACTTTTATTTCCTTTCAAAATATATATATTTTTTTTGGCCAAATTCTTCTGCTTGTAGAGAGAATCATTAAAAGAGAGATATCTAGCTTGATGTTGTTCATCTTGTTTCCTGAGTTTTTCTTCAGATGAGACGTCGGATAAACATCTGCATCAAGCAAGAACATACATCGTACTAAAAGCTGTAAGAAAATTTTCCTCCTTATTTTTTTTTTTTTGTGCTTATAAATTTTTTTTTTCCTCCAGAAAATTGACTTTTATCTCTGCATGTTCTTTTGTGAATTATTTTTGGGTGTTTAAAACTTCCCATTTTCATTTATTTTACGTAGGATTTATGTCCATTTGTCTCTTGATATGTTATGTTTTATTCCCTTTCTTTTTGTCTGAGTTACGGGATTATCTATTGCAATGAATGGTGTCAATGTGGTTTGAGGTAGATTAATCTTTACAGTTCTTTGATTATTATTATTATTATTATTATTTTGGGATTGAAGTTTCTTTTTGTTTATGTTATTGGAGAAATATCTTAGATCAAGGACCATTGAATCACCGTGTCATTTGACCAAATTGGCCATAAGAATGATCAATACAACATAAATAAAACTAAAGCATTGATATCAATCAAATTTTTTAAAATGAATGACTAACTAAACAAAATTACTCCCTATATCTTAAAATGACTAACTACTTATAAACAGAGATTTATGAGACGTACAATAGCAATTAGAATTACTATTTGGTCAAAGATCTCTATTTCTCAACCAAAAAATAAAAAATAAAAAATTATCATATCGAATGTGGATTACTACTCACTATACCCTAAAATGACTGAGTAGTATAAGAAATATAGATTTATGAGAGGTACAAGAGCAATTATAATTACTATTTGGTCAAAGAGCTCTATTTCTCAAAAAAGATAGAATTATCATATTGAATGTGGATTACTTGCTATATTCTAAAATGACTGACTAGTATAAGAAACAGAGATCTATGAGACGTACCACAACAATTATAATTACTATTTGGTCAAAGAGCTCTACTTCTCAAAAAAGATATAATTTTTTTTTTTTGTAACAGAAAAAAAAATAGTGTATAATTATTAGATTGAATGTGGATTAGTTGGAAAATGATTTTGGGTACATAGTGTATCACATAAAGGAGAAGTATAATAGAGGAAATCAACAGAGACTATCAATCAATCAAAGTAATTTGCTTAGCTTTTCAAAAATTTACAATTAAACCCTAAATTAGTAAATTTTACTACCATGCATCCTTGCAACCTTGAAAAGTTATTTATGATTGAGATTGTGTTTATTCTGAATGCAGCTGAGCAATGGGGAGGGATGTTACTGGATTAAGGTCATCATTTGAAAGGAAGACCAATGATGATAATAATGTGGGGAGACCACCAATGGGTGTAGATCATGTCTCTGCAGTTTTTGTTGCTCCAAAGATTGCAGTTGACAAAGACAGCAATACTTTTTCAGAGATGGATCCAGACTACAATTCTGATAGCACAACTAATACTGAAAATGGCATCAACAAAGCGGAAGATCATCATCCTCAAGATGATGGTGATGATGATAGCCAAGTTCAGAATAAGCAAGAAGAAGAAATTCATAATGATCATCATAGTAATGGAGTTCTTAAATCACAAAAAGATCATGATGATGATGACCAGAAGAAATTAACTACTACTACTACTACTACTACTACTACTACTAACAGCAGTACTAATTTGTCGGAACCTATTGCGCCGGCTTCAGGTTTTGCTGTTTTTGGAGTTCGTCGTCGAAATGCTGCTGCTGCTGCTGCTGATCATCAAACAAAGATTAGTGTTGCGAAAGATCATAATGGTGCTGTTGAGAAACTTAGCGATTCTGGCGTGACAGCCAATACCGATGATCATAAGACTAATGATTCGAATGAGCCTTCAAGGACTACTGAAGTAACTGATAATGATCAGGTACTCTTACAGCAGGATATCAACCTAGTCTGATGATCATTGCTGTTTAATTTACATTACTATATTCTATCCCACCCGGTGGACTGCCGAGCTACAAGTCCTACAACACAGGAGCGGGATTCTCTAAAAAGCCAAGGTCGTGGGTGGCCAAGAGGGCCCACTTGGAGACTTGGGATCTCAGCAGGAAATGCGAAGGAACGAACGAAGTGAAGCTATTAGATTAGATAAGCCGGCCGATAGGCGAAAGAGAATCCACTAGTTTAGTTCTGATCTGAGTAGGCTCATAATAGGGAATACCCTAACCCCGGGAACCGGGGCCTGGCCATCCTTTTCCTAACATGCATGGATCTTAATTTTAGTAACGAAAAAAGGCCGTTTTACTAATGGATACGTACAGTTAGTACACAATAAGTGAAACACGTGATCTTAATTCTGACTGTAGCTGATTTTCGGTATATTCATTCTCATATGTAGACTATTAAACCAGCGTCAGGGTTTGCTGCTTTTGGAGTCATGCCGACTCGCAGATCTAGTGCTGCTCCTGCTCCTGTTCCTGCTCCTGCTCCTGCTCCTGATCATCATCAGTTACATACTACTACTGTTGCAAATGATCATTATGACATCCAGAAAGATTCAAGCGATCATGATCAGCGGGCTAATGATCCTGTTGTTGTCGAGCAACATAATGATTCTGGAATGATGACGAATACTGATGATGATCATAAGAGAAATGATTCACATGAATCTCCGAAGAATACAAAAATAAATAATGATCATCAGGTACTGTACCACAAATCATTCTGTTTAAGCAAAATATATTAGTTACAGACCAGATAAGAGACGGATCTTAAAATACATGACTCTTATCTCTTAATAATGGCCACTAGGTCGTTAATTACACAATTAACAAACTGTAAATGAAACACGAGGTCTTATCTGACTTTTAGCTGATGTTTTTGGGAACGTATATACGCTGATCTGTTTGGCTGTGTTTGTAGCCTAATGAACCGGCTTCAGGGTTTGCTGCTTTTGGCATTTTGCCGGTTGGCAGAAATGCTCCTCCGGTTGCAGCAGACCACCACTGGTTACATAATGCCGCGGAAAATGATCGCGAGATCCAGAATAATTCTGGTTCGAGCAATCATGATCATCACGCGGCTAATAAGGGGGCTGTTGATCAACAACATATTGATTCCGGTATGATCCATTCCGGTAAGGCTAATGATCCGCATAAGTCTCCGAGGACTCCAAGAACAAGAACTGACATTGATCATCAGGTACTACAAAATATACAATATGTACCTTTTTATGTTTACCATCTGTCACACTTCAATGAGGCGATGTCATTTTGCTTTCTTGTAGCCATTTTCACCTCCATACATGAAGACTGCGGAACCACAGAATGATCATGATGATACAAAATACATAGACGAAGGGGATAACTTATCCCAGACATCCTCGTATCCTCTTAAACAAAACAACAAAGTTTTCTTTTGGAACGAAATATATATAATCGAACTTCTTGTTACTAGGTATTTCCTTGACATTTTTTTTTTTTTTTTGGTGTGCAAAGTAGTGTTTCTTTAACATCATTACGTAGAGGGGCAGCAACAACCACAAGGTCAATCCGACCTAAACAGACCACTGTTGCAGTCGGTCCTAAATTCATTTGCGGAGAACGCCTCAAGAAACGTAAGGAGGTATATCCATCTATTTAAAACACTAATTAATTCTCTACTTCTTTTTATCTTTTATTTCAATATACTGTATAGTAGTCCATTTTGTTGTATTATTATTTCAGTTCAACAAATTCGGACCTCTTAAGTTTTCTAAATGATTTTTTTTGTTTTTGTTTTTCTTTTTCAGTATTACACGATGTTGGAGGAAAAACACAAAGCATTAGAGAGGGAGAAGCGTGAACAAGCTGCTAGAATGAAGGTACTAATTACATCATTCTTCCAACAACGGAATTCCTTATATATACTCCCCGTTCCAAAATTATTGTCCAACTTATTTCAATTTGTATTACAAATTCCAAACTAAACAATAATTTTGAAACGGAAGGAGTATCACATTTAGCATAAGCTGGTTCATTGTTATACATTTGTCTTTTCCACCTCCCGAACAAAAAATGAACAGGAAGAAGAAGAGGCAGCACTGAAGCAGCTGAGGAAGAGCTTGGTGGTGAAAGCAAATCCAGTCCCTAGCTTCTACCGTGAAGGTCCTCCTCCAAAAACTGAACTTAAGAAGGTAGTTCTAATTACACATTCATAAATCTATACTTGTGGATTTTTTTAATGTCATTTTCTCTTAACTAAAAGGGTGATTAATTTATGCTGTAATCAAGTTCAGTTACCAGTCACGCGCGCAAAATCACCAAACCTAACTCGAAGAAAGAGCTGCAATGATGCATCCAACAAGGCAACCAAAGCATCATTCACAGAAGAAAAAGGAGGTTGCGAAAATGATAAACGACATAGCTTTGGATCTTGCAAAGATGCGAAAACTACTCCTACTACTGCCACCAAAACCAAATACGTCACTGGTTCAGCATCAAGTAAACACAACAATACCCAGAGCCGTCACGATCATCATCATCAGAAGCAGAATGTCGTCCGAAACAAACAAGGGCCATCGTCCAAATCACAGGTGGTGAAACAGACCTCAAAATCTGGCGAAATTTCGAATAATAATTCGGACACGGAAGAAGAAGTAACAAAAGTAGTAGACCACGTTGCTGATATTTCAGTGGTTGAGAAAGAGGATGCAGAAAACCATCCTCCTGCTGCTGGTTCTTCAGATGAGATGGAAACAGAGGTAGCTATGGTGAATGAAGAAAGACAGAGCAATTAGAGGATGCATGCATGGCTCAAAATATGTTTTATTTTGATATTTGTACATTGGATGAATTCATACTGTTTTAAAGTTTTTTATAGTGAGAAAACGACCCTAAATAGGCGTCGTTGTACATAATGACAAACCTTTTCATGTATTCTCACATTTTCTGACAGAAGACACATTTATCTGTATCCTTCCATTTTTATCAGATGTCCCTCGAGGGAACAATAGAAACCTCCTTTTATGAGACTTTTTACAATCTTTTTCCGCAATGTTTGTGGATGTTGGGGTGTATTATAATATCATTACATCACTTCTGATGTCTTTCCAAAGAGCGGACTATTTTTCCTTCACCCCCCACCCAACAGTGAAATTGAAGTGCCTGTTGATCCAATGATTTTGAATTTTTCTTCCACTTTATCATTGGTTACTTTACCTAGGGAAAAAAGGTCTAAATAGAGAAAGAGGAAAATGCTGATTTTATCTGATTTAGGTCATATTGTATCACAGTGAATCGTGGAAGCTAGAACTCAACATGTATAACAAAGAGAAGACTTGCACATTCGTTTGTGAGCATATAGCAAACTTTGTATATCATTGGATGATGTTCCAGGCGAGAAACTGTTAAAATTTTGCAAAATGGAAGTTCTCTTGCCATCCTACTCCGTAAAAAGGTTGACAATGAGTTTCAAACCTGGTACTCTACTGTTGACGTTATCATCCTTGAACAGTTGGCGCACAGCTTTTGTCGTCAGTGATCCAAAAGGTGACGACGGAAGTTCTCAAATCTCAACCACAATGCAAGGATCAACTTCGACTTTAGGATTCATAATCTGTTTAATTTGTGCCAACTTGTAGAACCTGATGAAAATCATTGGTATTGAGCGAAATCCACATTCATTTGTAAGATGGCTATTGCTTATGACGACGAAGAAACTCCTTCATTTGGGGGAAACTTTCGAACTTAGTAACAAGCCACATCTTTTTAGAGTTCTCCCAGAGTAAACAACCACATTCTCTTGCAAAATCACAGGCAGCCTCGAAAACATCCTGCAAGAAGCAAGCCCATCACAAAATTAACAAATATCTTAGATAACCAACTACCAAAAAATAGAAAAATTAAAACAACAAGTTTAGTTCTTGTTCATTTCATGCTTACTCTTGAAGGAAACTCGTCGAAAAAATGAGCAGGAGTAGTCTCAACCCTATTGAGATCTGATTCCCACAATCTTATCTGCATCACAAAGACTTGTTAGAATTGTGAAGGAGATAGGAAGGTACAGAGTTATTTATAGTTCTTCCAGGCTTTAAATGAATATATAAAAGCAACCTTATTTCTAAATAACATGAGAATAAAGCAATTGCAATACAGAATATCAAGAATATGCGAACCTGATCAGTGACATTCTCAGGAACAGAAGGTATTCTCTGAGCAACTCGAGGGTGCGCATTCTGCTGAAGGAAAGAAATGATCTACAAGTACACAGCCAAGGAAGATCACTAAATTTGTTTGTAGTACGTTCAGTATCGAATGTACAAAGCAAATTTCACGTTACCTTCAGAGAAGGTGCTAATTCAAAATAGAGAAAAACTGCACCAAATACAGTACTACGAGTAATTCAGAAAGCCTTGTGTAAAACAGATATCAGGTGGCTTGTTGTAAGAAGGAAAACACTCACTGCCATCATTATTTTGGAAAATGTCAAAAAGAAGTCACCAAATTTCTCTCATATCCTATTATTCTAGGCACTTCTACCATCAGTCAATGGCTGTACAACAAAACCATATAAAACAAATGCTAAGCTCCAAAGGAAGTTTGGATTATAACTTGCCTGCTCTGCAGTTATACCATTTTGAAAAGCTTTATACAAACTTTCTCTTGTAATTGCTCCCACAATCAAATTAGGTAGCTGGTATTCAACCCTGCATGTGCAGTGAGATATTGTATGAAAACAAGATAACAGAAACAAGTTGGGCAATTGAAAGACCACAGCACTAGAAGTAGAAATACTTTGAGATTCACGCTCATTGTTCCTGTTTCTATATAACCAGTAGTCTTTCCAAAAAAAAAAATATAACCAGTAGTCATAATGTTTAGCTACTCCTAGTTATTTGATGAATCAAACCATCATTCTGCACCAAATGTATCAGATTCACATGCAATTAGAAGAACACAGGAAGAAATGCAACCAAATCTTTTCTTCACCATTTACCAGCTTGCCGCTTTTCCTCTGCCTATTCCGAAATTCTGTTAAGGTTCTCTCAGATCACATCTAAGCCAAATAATTTCTGACAAATAGATATATACAAGTTCTAAAGCCAAATGGTTCAAAACAGCAGTTGCTCTAAGTAAGCAAAAGCACATTTTACATTGAACGATTTCGTACATATCTTTGATAATATCTGAGCTCCAAAAAATACGTTAACGACACAAAACTTTCATGATAGCTTATAATTTGGCATCGTTGGTAGGTTTACAAATGGCTGATCTGAACAGCCAAAACAAATAAATTTTTATAGAAGCTAAAATCCAACCCATCACATGCAAAATAACAGTCTTTAATATACAAGATTGAAAAGCATCTCCATTCACATTAAATAAGCTCCTCAATTCTCAAGGGAGGAAAAAAAGAAGCAACTTTCTACAAGAGATACTATTTCTAAAGATGCTTTCTTATAACATACCTTGAAAAGAGGCGTAATATCTCACTGTGCAATTTTGAAGTTGAATAGGCGTACATTCTGAAATTTGTCTCTATAACAACAAATCCCTGACATCCATCAAGTATGACAATCAGATGAGGAAAAGAGAATCCAAACCTAACCAGAAATGAGATTAAGTCCAATTCTAAATTTTAGCACTGGGAACTAAGGAATGTAAAGCCTAAAAAAGTGTGAGAATTAAAAGAGGAGGAGGAGGAGAGGGGGGCGGGCGGCAAGAACAAAAAGGCTTTACAAGCCAGAAGCTGACTACTACCTGCTTTCTTGAAGATGTATCTGATAAACTGATTGATAGATTGGTAGCTAACTTTGTGGGGATAAACCAACTCTCCCTCATTCCCTGGATAGGAGATAAATGTATCAAAAATTAATTCACCAAGTGAGATAATGCTATGGTAGTGTTAATCTTTAGTGAATGCTCTGTTATTACCTTTTGTAACTTCACCAGACCCAAATCAGCTAGATCCCTAATAATGGTCTGTTGTATATCATTCAATGTGTTCAAACTGTATGCCTACATACAGAATGCAAACCAAATCAAAATCTAAGATTCATCAGGAAATAGGTCTTTAGATGCTAGTAGCAATAACAGTGACAAGAAAAGAGTAGTTACATTACTAAAGTCTAAACGTATAGAAACAGCATGACATTGAACAGAATTATTTCTACATCAGAAGACAACTACAGAACACAAAAACTAATGAAGCTCGCATTTGTATATAATACCTCTCCAGTAGCATGAAAACTTAGCTCCAGAAGAAAGGATATAAGATCTGCTGAGTCCAGCCCGTGCTCCTGTAACAAGATGATATCAAACGGTAATGTCCACATCAAGCACAGTATTTTTATTTTTTTTTTTTCCCTCATTACATAATCGATAAAAAGGATTTCGCTTAATTATGGACAGACTAGCAAATTTAAACAGATGGGTAGTTAAAGGAAAGCTACTCATTCCCAAATTTGAGGTTTGTCTGATGAAAGTAATTGAAATAACCAAGACAACCAAAATGTATGGATGAGTAAATCTGACTGCATGCAATTTACAGAGTCCAGAGTCATAAATCCTAGATATTGTTTATCGAGGCTAAATCTCATTGATCAAAAGTAATATTCAGAAAAAGTAGTATAAACATTTTTCATTGTTGAACATGTGCATAATAAAAGATAATAGAGGTAGAACTCAAAAACAGAATTGTCACTTTGAATACCGTCTGTAGAAGGAATCATTTAGCCCAAAACAAGGAGAAGTAATATAAAACCACTGATAAGCTTTAGTTATCCACTCTCTTAACCATCAAGCCATGAAGCAGAATTGACCATGCAAAAAACTAATATGTATGGGAAGAGATAATCCTCAGAAAAGAATACCTCTGAGTTGGTGATATATTCCCTGATGATGTACCATAATTGTGCATTTGTATCCATCAGCTGTTACCAAAAGGTATCAGCATCACAGCAAAACTTCTCTGTAACTAAGGAAAATCCTTTTCTTACTTACCAGGAACTGAAAACCACCTTCCGTCAATCTTGGAGGTTCTTTCTCATCTCTAAGAATACATCAAAGTTAACTAATCACATTTATTTTTGGGGAGGCCAAGAGAAGTTAGCTCAAAAAGGTGAAAATACTACCTTTGGCTCAAGAGACCACGCTGGAAGATTTTCATCATGGAAGAGCTAAAGTTTGTCGACTTTTCAGCTTCACTGGAGCTTATGAGATGCAGTAAAAAACACTGTTTTGAAGTTGTCCACATTTAGTATGGGCAGCATAAAATAAAACCATCCCGAAAAGAAAGCATCCAGGCAGAATAGAAAATGCATCTACTGCAAAAAAAAAAAATTCCACACTAGAAACGGGTTACAGCATACCTCCCATTGGTTAGCGGCATAGGCATCCAACTCCTCCAAGCTTGGAAGCCGCAGAGAACCACTGGAAGACAATGGCTGTCTAGGCAAAATTCCTCTACAATATAATTTACACGCATCAAAAGCCAATTGTAGGTAAACCGTTTCAAAGCTAAGATGCTGTGGTTGCTATCCCAATTATCCAAAAGACAACAGATGTACAAGTACAGTTCTACTCATGTAAAATGAAGATCAATGTTCCCAACAGATTAACATGGCATTTGACATATTGCACCTACAAGTTTTACATTCTACAACCCACCTAACCCCTCCCAGTCAAATAAATAAATAAGAAGCCTGGAACCAGAAAAGAAGATGAATACAACACATTGCTTACCCGTGCTTAATGTGCTTTTGGATATTTAGCTGAAATGTGGGGTTCAGTCTATAACTAACTTCTTTCTTCCTGCCGTAAAATAATCACAACTGGCATTAGCCTAGGTTGCCAAATACTTCTGACAACCAGCATTAGATGCTCACAACAGAACAAAGCAAACTATATCTGAGAGGGCACGCATCACCTGTCAAAAGTTTCGGTAAAAACTCTCAATTGGATAAGCCTATCGATTGCAACTTTATGCTTTGAAAGTCCATCTGTAAGAACCCAGTCGTCCAGTGACTTTCCTGGTACTGCGACATCTATGTAAAGTAGATGTAACACATACTTCTTGGCCAATGGAGGCAGCGATCTGCCAGAGAAAGACCATCATGAGCAACCAACCATTTCCACCAAGAAAAAAAATTAAATCATAAAAATATCTAGTTAGAAGAACCAGTCTTGGTCACTTGGCATTTATTGAGGAGCTAATTGCATTATTCAAATTAAGACATAAATATCAGCTTTTCAAATGATACACATTGTTCATCCTAAAAAGTGGTATGATCAATCAAAAATCTTCCCGATTCTAAGAAGCGCTGATCTACTAACTGAATCAATTCAAGCTTTCTAAAATAGAACAATGCAACTAATAACTAAGCTCAACAAAACTGAAAATTATTTTAAGAGTACAAAAAGAAAGCCCTGAGTACCAAACCTGAGGATAGCTTCACAGATGAAGGCATTTTGGAATAGCTTGTCAAGCTTCAAGGCTGGCAACGAGGCCACCATATCCATAAAATTCTTGGCGACAATTTTCACTTGCGGCATTTTGTCTTCCTTCTCTCGTATAACGGAGGATTGAAATTGGACGCTTTTGGTCAAAATCAAGATATAGCAAAATCCCTTTAGACAAAGATCAATGTATCATGCACCAAACAATCATCAATAGCAGGGCCTGCGTCCAGAAACACTCCACAAATGCAATATCCGCAGAAAGAAATTATTCTTAACGAAAAGATGACTTTGAGAATGAATCATTAGAGAAATTCACACAATTTCAATTCGACTAGAGCATTAAACTAAGAAGAGTTACCAGGATGAGACAACGGGGTAAAGAATCTACGTAGTAGGAACAACTCGCCGGATTTCGGGGGCAGTACACACAAAAACCGGCGCCGGCGTCGGAGCTGAGGAAAAGAAGAGAGAAAGTGTCACTTGATCGGAGGAGGAGAACGGCCGTCGACGACGGTAAAAAGAGGAAGCTCGGTTCTTTTTTAATGGAGCAGAGGCCCGCGGGTCCTCGCCAAAACCCGCCCAAAAAACTAGAATTTTTTCCTTAAATATATTTCCTTATATACACCTGGACAAAAATAAACCTTTCAAAAATTTTGTGGACAAACTTATATGTTCTGGATTTAGGAAATCCGAATGGGGTGAAACTCGGATTTCGGAAATCCGAACCTCAACAAACTCAGATTATAAAAATCCGACTTGTGTTACGTAAATCCGATATTAAGTTAATGACAGAAATTAGTGTAATTAATCTAAATCCGGATTTTATAAATCCGTATTTACGAATAAAATATTAATTTTTGGATAGAGAAAAAAAAATGTGTTGAAAAATTAAATTTGGGAAAAACCGGATCACGGTAATCCGAATATACGTAGATTCGGATTACCGAAATCCGAATCTCCTCTGTTTTCTGAAATATGGAGACTCTCAGTTGGCTACAGACTCGGATTTCCGAAATCTGAATCCTTTACAAAAAGTCTGAGTTCGGATTTCGCAAATCCGAGTCTTTGTCAGAACTGAAAAAAAAAATTGGACTGGTTTTCACCAGTCCTAAACCTGTTTACAGCACCAACAACAATGAAACATTGGAAAACAGAAATTTAATGGCAACAAAACAATAAACGACATTCGATTAACAATAAAACAAATCAAGTTTCATACCAAAATCAATACAAAAACTACTTTAAATGTGCAAAATACATCAAATGTCTCATTTTTTCCCTTTTTCTTTATTGTGCGCATCCGGAGTATATTTATTTGGGCCCTGCCGGATCCTGTCTCCCCTCTTAAGATACGTGAGTATTGAACTCTGTTGTGGTTGGGACTGTCCACCAAACTGAGCCTCGGGTTGGAGTTGGGATTGGGACTCCCCCATGGTGAGAAATTTGACTTCCGGTTGTGGTTGCGACTGTCCACTAAACTAAGTCTCGGGTCCACCAAGGTCAAATGGAGTCTAGGGTCCACCAAGGTCAAACTGAGTCTCGGGTCCACCAACGTCTTCAAAATGAGTCTCAACTTGGATGCGCGAGCCTCGAGAAGAATGTGCTTGATCCTCATTTTGTTGACCCTCAGTTTGTTGTTGCGATGTCCGAGGGGGGATTGTGACCTTTCTCTTTCTTCCTCCTCCAATCTTATCTGTCGACCACGGTTTCGCTTTTTTACCCGGCGGAGGTTGTGAGGGCAAAGATGGATCTTCATCAGCCAGGATTTGGGTATCCTCCACCTCCATCTCATCATTTGCGCCCAGGGTTAAAGCAGCATGTGTTTGATTGATGATATCGTCCAAATGTTTGTCGAGTTCTTCGTCTAGGAGATTCTCATCTTCTCGTTTTTCTCTAAACTTCTCGGTACTCACTCTAATGTTGTTCAATACTTCACCCTGAAAAGAAATTGGACGTTAATTAAGAGAGTAAAATTCTAAAAAAATAAAAATAAAAAAAAAAATAAAATCAAAACATAAGAAATAATAAAAGATATATAGATGAACTCACATATAATTTCACGCGGCTCGAAGAAGTCTCGTATCCTTGAGGTTCATAATTACCAGGATTGGATATCAGTCTGACAGTGTTCACCATGAACTATTCATAATACCCCTCATATACGGAACCAGGATTTCCTTCCTCCAAATCTCGTAGCACGTACTCTTCTCTCTTATTCCAATGACGACGTACTGCGGAATGGTGGTCCACCCAATTATTGCTAGGATACCCAGACATACTGTGGGCGTGATCGAGAAGGAATGCTGCGTTATCTTTAATCATAGGGCGCTTGGGAACATCTTGTATGTATCCAAATTGTCTTACGACTCTGCCCGACTCGTGGGGTTTCCTAATAGCCCAACAGAACATCCAACACCTGGTCGTCCAAATGGCTTGGTTTTGTGTACAGAAATCAGGGAGTCTATGAAGGACATGTGCATATGGTTGCCACCGAAACTGCACGAAAAGAATTTCATTAGATGGTACAACCGGAACGAAAAGAAAGGGGTAATTGATCTCAAAGTAAATATAAATATCAAATTACAAGTACTTACATTTTCAACACGCAGGTTTGTTAATTGATCTCTAAAAGGTGGGGTGCTGCTCCTTGGGGCGTCGCTGTAGGTGTATCTCCATTCCCACCTTAATGAACAAAGAGGTACATTTGAATTAGTGGAAAAAATAAATAAGAAACAAATAAAAATAAACATTGAGTTATTTTGAACTGAAAATACGTACCGCTGAACTAATGGAGCGGTCTCATCAATTATATAATCTACTCCTTTTCTTTGTAGCGCGATCCTCTCGATCCACTCACACGCCCATACCTAGTAAATTGCAATAATAATGTTAAAACTTCAAATTATAACGTCGAAAGCGGAAAATAATTAAAACATAAAATGAAAACTAATACGTACCTGTAGCAAATATAGACACTCAGTGGCGTCGTGCATGGTGTACTGTGATGCTTCGCACAGTCTAGAGTACAAACCAGCCAGCAGTGCCAATCCCTAACTGTATCGACTACAATGATCCAAATCCTCAACCTGGGCTAAGAACTGCAGATTGACAGTGTTTTGCGTCTTGTTAGGAAACATGAAACTGCTAATAAAATGCAGTATAAGTGTCCTGGCCCTTTGCTCGAATCGATGGACAGTGGAATTCTCAAGTAGTGCGCGGCCCATCTCATCTTCGAAAATACCAACATTGACACATTGACCATTTACTTGGGCTGGCTGGAATCCCAAATAAGCCTCACATCGATCCCGCATCATCACCATCAAGAGGGGTGGCTTCAAAATTGGCTGCTTTGTCGGTCATTTTCTCGTATTTTTCCATAACTCAGGAGGGATCGGTGTCGTGCAATTTCTCGCAGACAATTGTTCTTCTCTGTAGAATTTAACTGTTTTGCGAAAGGTTGCATCGATCAAGGCTCTGATTGGTAAAAAACGGATCCCTTTCAACGCATTGTTGTAACTCTCAAAAATGTTGGTTGTCGCTATGCCCCAACGGCAAAGACCGGCTTTCAATCAAGCCCAGTTACTCCCTCCAATCCCTCGAAGATACTCCCATGCAGCAGGTTTGAATTCAATAAGCTTTGCCCTCATACGGTTGTATTTCACTCTTGAAAGCGTCGTGCCCATCTTCCAACATAACCGCTTCACCTTTTTACTATTATATTGCGACACAAGATTGCTGCGAACGTGGCGGAGGCAAAGAAAGTGGCCACCATCTCCTAAATCACGCCATTCATCCATCTGTGATATTGCGCTCAACAACCCTGCATTCCGGTCGGATATCACACTTACGATTCTATCATACACAACCCACAACCTCAAATTCCTTATAAAAAATGTCCAACTCTCTACTGTCTCCTCATCCACAATCGCAAATGCAACCGGTAAAATGTGCTTGTTTGCGGTATAGACTACCGCAACAAGCAATTTACCCTTGTATCCACCACGCAAAAAGGTTCCATCGATACAAATGACCGGTGGACATTCAAAAAACGTCTCAGCCACTGGTGCAAATGACCAGAAGACGTATTTAAATGTCCTATTTCCCCTGTTCCAACCTTCTTGTCCCTCTTTTCATTCCCACTCTACTACAGTTTCAGGATTAGTAAACTTAAGTACAGCGATATACCTACACAACAACAAGTCATTGTTAAAATATTTCAATACATGTAAAAAAAAACACTAAAAATATTTCAATACACGAATAAACCTTGATATTTACCGTGGAAGTTCTTCGAAATTCGAGGTCCAATCACCATAGACTGCTTCTATGGCTTTCCTCCTCCCGTGCCACGCCCTTTTGTATGGCACATCTACTTTCAATAAGGTCTTCTGTGCCGAGGCTACCGTATAATCTACGTTGTCCTCAACCTTTCTCCCGATGAGTCTAGCAATTAAAGACGCGTCCACACACCGATTGTCATTATCATTCACGGGAGTCATGCAATTATGTGCATCATGCCATCTCACAACTTCATGAAGGCCGTGAGCTTTCAAAGACAACGCATCTTCCACTCACATGGTGGTTCACCACCTCACTTTCCACATTAAATGTTCTGCATCACACAACCCACGTCCTTGGACTACTCGCGGCAACCGTATATTCTCTTTTATGATGGATGTTCCATAATTTCACATCATGCTTTGCTTCTGATTGAGATTTGAAACAAACACCAATGTCCATTCCTTCGGGCGTCTCATCCCACATCTTAAGAGCAAACTCATCCTTGTCCACACATGAGGCATCCCATTTCCCCATCTTACTATATACATGGCGTCGGGGCAATGGATTACAATCCCTTTCCTCATTTTCCAACCTTTCATCATCACTTTCTTCAAAATCACTCTCTCCGAAGACATCACAGTCTTCTTCGCTTTCACTTGGAGCTATGTAGTCGGAATCCAACTCTTCCCGGTAGTCATCTTGTGCAAATAAAGGTGTCTCCTCTTCATCACGGTTTCGAAAAGTACTAGCACGTTCCCCCCTTGGAAAACCACCAAATGACACGTTTTCCAAACTCGCTTCTCTTTCTTATTGAGTGATATCTTCCAAATCTATGTATAAATCCAAGCATGACATTGGATCTACACGGTTCATGAACTCTACATGCGAATCATTCTTGATCTTCACTACACGCCTACTACCAAAACTATCGAAAATCAAAGAAATGTGGAGTTTCACGTGTGCTGGATCCCAACCAAGTGTCATACAAATCTTATTAATCAATCCCTCATATGACAACCTTTCTTCGACAAACAAACCATCATCCGGTATATTCGAAAAAGTGTTGATGCTACCATTCTCTATCACATACTTACTTGTATGATACAAATTAAGCATGTATGATACATTACGTGCCATTGATAACTGTTAAAAAAAAATCAATAACTCATCATTTCTTAACAACAAAATCAATAAATACACCACACATACTCCATTCATAATTCAAAAAACCTATAAAATACTAAAATACTTATAAATCAACTTCGATATCTCATGAACAACTATGATTTCTCAT